ATTTTGGTGGTGGGTTTTTTGAATCAAATTAGGCTCTCTTGTTTCTCTGCACACAATCCTAAGGATCAGACTGGCCTATTTTTAAGATACACAAACCTCCATATTTCCCAGCTCAGTTTAGAATCATAGCTTGGGCTATGAGCGATATCCAAAACAAACTCAGGTGCTGCCCCAAAATGAAACTCAGACAGGAAAAGCAGTGTGACAAAAAGTGGGGGGCCATGAGAAAGATATCAGACCTTTGCTTCTCCATCCTTTCTTCACAAGGCAAAAATTAAGATACCTTAAGAGAAGAAACAAAAAGTAATTCCACCACATGAGTTGCAAAACATCCTTTTAACTCATCCTGAATACAGTGCTAAGCTAAGCATCCTGGACCTCCAACACATAGATCATGCCAGGTGAGCCACTGCCAAATGATGAGCACTGCTCACGTTCCTCCACCTCAACTACTTTGCTTCGAGGATCTGTCTCAATTTCAGAGGTAATCCCACCAAGACACCTACTGACTTGGGCTCAAATCCCATTAACTCTGTGCCAGAGGAAATCCAAATGGTCTGACTCATTGGCTGACAGACCCGATGCCAGCAGCCAGATGGAGCTGCATTTGGTCTTGAATGGCATTTATTGGTATTCCTCTTCCCTTATCAGCTCAAGGATAAAAGCTCAAAATTTCTAAGCAATGTCCTGGATCCTATCCCTGCTGCCACTGACAAGCTCCAAGTAGTAAGAAATCTTAATATCTGTGGATATGTTCCAACACCTTATTTAACAGTTTTCTAAAAATATGAATATCCAGTGGGCTTAATATCTTGCAGGTTTAAGCTGGTACCTAAGAAATCTGTTCACTTTGTCTCACTGCTTCCAGACTGAAAGGAGCTGTACAGGTGAACACAAGAGTTTTATCAATAAAGCTGCTTTAAATGTAGCCCCCCCCCCCCCCCCCCCAAACCTTACATCATTCTTGTTTCATTTTCACAGCTCATACTCTAAAATCCCCATATTAGCTTCCTGGCACGCTTATTCAAGCACCAATCTCTTTAACCATATGGTTCTAGTCCTGCAGATTGTCTCTCCCCCATTCTACCTCTACTCCCACAGGGTTTCACAGAAACAGGGCTATGCAAAACTTGTAAAAGTACATGTCATCTTAAATGTTCAACACCAATCTTCTCAATGAAGTTTCTACAGAAGTCAGTTTAATTAAAATGAAAAACAGAAAACCCTGGAAGCTTCATCTCTTTTCAGCTTTTGACAATCAAAAATTTCCACTGAATATTAGGGAAAAAAAAAAAAGGCTGAAGGGCTGAAGTGGACAAGTTCAAAGCTTTATACAAAAGTTTTTCTAAACTTCTAAGCATGAATCAGACATTTTCCCGTCTTCCCATCTAGTCCTAAAGCAAGTGTTTGCAGTAAGCATTAATGCTATACTTCCTGAGGAAGAGTTTATAACACACAATTATTGTATTTTCCCACTTATATCTAGCGTATGGCCACTGTCCAACATGTAAGGTCTCATGCAATACTCACATACAAGACAGATTAACATCCTCCTAATTTTAGGTGAATTTTTCAGCTAATTTTCTAAATATTAAAAAAAAGAGAAAAATCTTTAATATTGCAGGTAAAGTATTAAAGTAAGCAGCAGCCCAGAAACCTAAGAATGACTTTTCATTATGTTTTTAAATCATTCCAGAAATACCTAAGTATTGCACATGTTACTCCATGTAAGCAAGCATTTCCTAGAAACCAGCAACTGGTTACGAAGCTGTGAAGAAGTCAGCTCCCTCCTCTGCCACAAACTGAAGACCGACCTATTACAAACTCTTGTTAGGGGGTTAGTGAGGAGAGCCCTAGCTCTGCACTGGAGGACACCACTTACACCACATTCCTTCCCACTGATGTGATTAAGAGGTTTTGAGCTGGTCAGACCCATCAAGCAAAGAAAATTGACACGCACAGATCTAGTTTCTGTCCTTAACAAGGTTAATACTAAAGAGGGAACAAGTCTACCGCTATAGTTCCAGCAGTCGCATCTTTCAGAAGTGACTCAGTTACTGCTGCCTACTAATTTTTACTTCCCTGATTTCACTATGATCAGGACTTTACTGAATGTGGTTAAGCTGGTTCAGATCACTGTTGAGCAGTGTTCAGAACAACGGCACCCACACAAGCTATTTCTACTACATCTTAACATGGTCCTTGCACCAGTGAGATTGATGATATCAACACAGCTGCTTTCAGAAGTACAGCTTCTGATTTTCCCAATCTTTTCCCTCCACTCCAGGAGGTTAGGTCCTACTTAGTAGCCACATTTCCAGTGCCATTCAGCACTTGCATATGGCCACCCTTGTAATGAGAAATCACTTTATCATGCCCAAGTTGATTTGGAGAGGCACAACAAGAAATTACACTGCCTCATCAATCAGGGCAAGGACACCGAGGAAGGCTGAACCCCAACCAGCATCTTCCCCAGCCAGGAGAGCATCTTGCAAAAAGAACAGTTGTAAGAAAGAGGTCTAGACTGAGCTTAGTTCATCTTCTCTCTCTGAATAACCTTGTTGCTAGAGGTATGGGCAGAGGTTTCTACATCTTTAACAAAGGCAGTGAAAACCATTATTTAAAACTCCGTTCTACACATTTGTTCCCAGAAGATCAGGCCCCAGCAGAGGACAGCAACACAAACCCCACAGGCAGGACTGCAGGAACACAGCAGACGCTGGGCAACCTGGCGCTTGCCATGCCTGAAACCCTGGAGTTCACTGGCTGATCTCCGTGTCCTTAGGAAACTCCCATGGACAAACACAAGTGGTATTAAAATTGCACTTTGGGCCTTCAGCTGCTAGAACCCCGCTAACCCTCACGCTGGACGCTCAGACCTTTTTCTTGGAGCCAGCCCAAATTTCCATGGAGGACCCACTCTCATAGAGGGATGAGGCTGATCATTCCTTGCATAACAAGGAGGTGCCTCCAGCAGATGGGGTTACAGACAACCCCGAGAGCGGGCTGTGCAGACTGCGGATTTAATTAGAAGTGTTATTAAACAGATACGACTGCAAGAACGGTTCTGTGCCTCGCCTCCTAAGTGCAAAGTGGAAGATACCTCATGAGACAGGATTCTGCAAAAAGCTGTTAGCAGTGTTTCCTTTGCCAGACAGAGGTACAAGAAACAGATTGCTAGGTAAAAAAATTCCACCCTTCTCTTCCTCTCTGTGAGCTTTTTTCTCTGACAAACGGATACAGAAGCCTCTGCAGAGACCTGCATTTTTAGGAACAGACACTTAGCTGTTAGGACAGCTCCGTTAAAGTCAATGGATGCTCCCAAATGAGTGGTTTTAATAGCCTGTAATAATTTGATAGTAATACAAACTTGTGGAGGAGACTCCCAGACCTTCACATGCAGGAAATACCTTCATAAAATCATGGCAATAATAAAATAAATCAGGCTGCCTGTTAATAATGTCCACTTTTGAGAATTCTGAACATTATTTTTAGCATTCAGATTGTTTTTCTGGGTTGTGAACATTCAGGGTATCTAGTTAGCAACAGTATATGTTCTAGAAAGATAAATACTTTGTAAGGCTTTTCTAACAAGGAACAAACTGCCAGGACTATTTGTTTTAAGCACTTCTGTCGTGCAGAAGCAGTAATCTATGTATATTAATTCAGCAGCATATGCTGTCCTACACTCTTATTTTAATAACCCTGCCCTTTATGAAGGAAAAATCTTCATCCTCTTCTAGATACAACTCACCTTAATTTTCACATGCAAATTATTTCAGTATTTGCTATTCTGCTTTTAGATACATATGATCGTTACAGTTTTCTTGAATCCCTTGTGAAAACATGCATTTAAGCTAGAGAAGGCTACTTCTACGTCTGTGAGAGCCAAAGTTATTTTACAGCTCCACTTCTTGCAGCTTCACCATGAAATTAAGACAGACAACCTGAAGTAACATGTTGGGAATAGCCAGAGAACAGAAACAGTTTCATCGTTAAAGAGAAGTTTGTTGCAGCTGAAAGCATCACTACTGTTACACTTTCTTTGCTTTACAATGAAAGAAATAAGTATGCAAACAATGGTACATTCAATTTTTTAACTGTAATTCATTCCATGTATCAGCCTGTATTTATATTGGATTACAGCATAGACCTGTGACATCAAAAGTCTCCCAAAATAAAGACATTTTAAGAGCTTTATTAGCCAGACAGGTATCAGCATCAGGAAGTTTGTGACAGAGGGAAGAGTACACGAGAGCACAAACTACTGTAGACGGCTCCACATCTATTTTTAAGCCTTACAAATTTTAAAAAATGCTGTCTATCTTGCTGTTGGATTTTTTCTAGAAGATTGTTCAGTAACACAGTCTACTCACAGTGCCTACGCAGAGCTTTGATCCACCTTGTACCACAGCAGGTCAAGCACCACGTACCCAGAACGAAGCTCACATTTTGATATACCTGTTACATTAATGACTTTAACAGTGACACTGAGAAATGCAGGTACAATGGAAGTAGTGGCATCCAAGGCTGATGTGTTCATAGTAGACAAAGCTTGGGAGAAAGAGTACAGTCATATCTGTATCATCTTAAGGCATGCTCAGAAAGGTATTGTACCCCTGGAAAGCAGCAACGTGTAAGCCACGATGGCCAAACCCTCTCTCGGGAAGAAGACACCTAGTTTCCAGGCAAGTCAGAGAGAACGTTTTTGGAAGCCAGTGTTCTCTAATCAATCAAGTGCTGCACAGAGCCAAACCTGGCTGCGCAAGGCTTTATACATAGCTGTGAATATGTACCACATAGAATAGAGACATCTCTACTCAACACCAGCACATCTCAGCTGGTTCTTTAGGGCACTTCTGTTTGATCAGCACTATTTTGCTTTTAGCTGCAGACAGCTCAAGGCAGTTGCTGTTCATCGAAGAGATTGTTTCCCTCTGACGCTAACAGTACTTCATCAGCTAATGCAACAAGACACTCCAAGTGTGTTACTGGCATACCAGAAACCCGGGGCTGACAGCTAACCCCACGGCATCCTGCGCCAGCAGTCTCCCATACATCAAGAGGCAGGGACAGGCCAGATGCCTGCGAACTCCGCAGAGTCTTCCAAGCAGAGCAGCATTGTCTTCAAAGCCCTGTGCCGGAGGGCAGCCAGCACCCTCCCAGTGCCACCCCATCAGCGCTCCCAACAGTGCTGCCCATACCCTGAGGAACATCATCCACCTTCACAGTGAGCCCCAGCACTTTCTTCTGCCTACACCTTGACAATGGCAGCAGAGGAGATCCTTAGAGCACCTTCTGTACTACATAATCTTTGCTCGAATTGAAATGTGGCTTTCAGCAAACCCGCGTTTAGGTGTGGATGCAGGAAGGGTAAGCTAAGCCTTAACAACAGAGTTCAGTGGAAGTGTTAGATTGCAACAACACACACCACTGGGAGCCTCCCACCCCACGAGGAGAGCTGGGCTGGCTGCACCTCAAAGACTACTGTCAAGTGCCTCTTTCCTTTTAAAGCTCTTCAGGCTCACCAAAGGCCCTCTGTTTCAAAGATCTGTTCCTGTTTTGATTTCTAATTGCTACTTGAACTCTCAGTTGAGCCAGTCCAACCTACAATAAAGGCTCAAGTGTGTTGACAAGCAGCACACATCCACCCATCCTTAAAACGAAAATACAAGAACTGGCCTTTTCATTCAGGAGAAGAAACATCTCCATAATATACTCCCCCTAAGAAAAGTCACATCCGTATCACTGAACAAGACATAATTTGAAAATCATAATCACAAAAATACCTTTTTAGCTACAGAGGCCATACGACGACTCCCCTGTCTCATATATCAATATAAAACAATCAGATGAAAGGTGACTGCAAGCAAAAGCACTCAGGCAATAGAGTATCTTCTTCCCAAAACATAGGTCCAGTGGTCACCACTGATCATCGGTGGAAGCACTGCTCACAGAGCAACACTGGGTTTTTTCATTTTAAGAAATTTTGGGTGGTTGTGCTTTTACACTATCAGCAGTTTTCTAGCACACAACCTCCTCTGTGTCACTGCTAATGACATACCAGAGGGAGACCATTGGCGAAGAGAATTCTTTTTCTCCCTATAAGGATTGAAAGAATAGAGGAGAGTGTACTTTTTCCTGAATATATTTGGCTCTGCAGAAGACACATGTGATACAAATGTTGCTATGGAAACTATTCTATTAAATAATATTAAATTAAATTTACATATTTAAAGTGTGCAAAAGCAGTCCAGGTACAGAACTAATTAGCCTATATTCAATCTTGAAATTACAAAGTAGGGCCTACCAGAATTGTCATTTTCCTTTTAAGACATTTGGTTTTGAGCGAGCTGCTTCTCTGCACCCCTTTCTTTCCAGATGTAGCACCTGCACCCCAGTTATTCAGAAAAGTCATTTCTTGAGATAATTTGTAGATACATGCTCTGCTCCTAGTTCCCTTGGTGATGGAATTACCATAGCATTACAGAGAAAAACCCAGGAGCTGAATTCAGTGTGAAAAGACAATGCACTGATTACAGCTGTGCCACCATAATATTGGAATGTATTTTAATAACTCCCACTTACATCTCATCACACAGAGTACTGAAATCCTTCTCAATTAAACAGGAGTCCTACACAGGGCTGGAGCAGGCTTGTCCTTCCTAATGCTTCCACCGTATGGAAAGTTCTTTGAAAGTTCGTACTTATGGTCGAAAGTATTTTTTTTCCTTCCCCACCTCCAGCTCCAGGGTGTCCCACAGCCCTCCCCAGCACAGCTGCCAGAAGATGAGCTGTCTGCACAGCTCCTTCCCCTCTGAAGAAGCCAAGCTCCCATTAGCCACTGAGTAAGACTGAACCCAAGCTCTTGCTAAAGCCAGGCGGCAGCCCCAGGTGCTCAGCCAGCATCAGTACCGGCCAAGCACATACACACCCGCAGCAAGGAGGAAAACTCACAAAGGAGAAAGGACACGTTTTTTAGCTGTGGCTGTGTACCAATAAGAGGATGCTGACAGTTGCACTGCTGCTGCAAGCAACGCAAGCTTGTCCTGCATGTAAAGAACTTGGGTTAATCATAATTACCCACTGCTACTTGGGTGTTGTAAATCAGGACACCAGGCTTTTAAGCAGCTTATAGAAAATGCAAGTTACAGGAAGAAATCTACAGCCATGTTTCAACCATCTATCATTAAGTAGCAAGCCAAGACTCTAAATTGCAAAGTACAAGGAGATAAAAGCATTACTGGTGATGAAAATACTTATTTCCAAACAAATGGAGCAGCAAGCTTTGAATAGGTCACCTCTCCCTCATAGCACGGCCTCCATCACCAGATCTAAAGCAGTGACAGCCAGATCACAGCAGCTACTGCCTTCCCTCCTAATGACCTCCACAGCACTGGAAAGTCGTTGGGACAGCACGCCCAGAGCAGCATAGGGGAACCAGTTCAGGGCTCTTCATTTGAACAAATCTACAGCCATGGGGAACTCGCTGGGACTTTGCTTGGACTTCTTCACAAAAGCGCTTTACATCACCCCTTTCACACTTTCCAGACATTGATAGTGACAGTGAGACAAAACTTTGGAAATGGAAGGAATAAGATCAAATAAAGAAGCTGTCAAATAAAACATTTAACACTCATTCCATTTCCACAGACACGGTGTTGTTCTTCATTTTTTCCTTTTTTTCTGGCATTCAGCTGTCAAACGCTCTTCTACTAAGAGGGCATTGAAGACTTCCTCACCACCACCCCCTTCAAAGTGTTCTGGAGAGTCTTAATAAAGGAAAGGCAGAGGCATTAACAGAATTCACACCTATCTCAGAGTCAGGTGCACCTTATTCACGTGCCCATTAGGTTTCACTGTTACAGTATGGACAGATGTGTCAAAGTTTAATCTTACTCTTCATTTATGCTGGGCAAACAATACTACTGTCCATTCAGTAATGAAAGGATAGTTACAATACACTAAACCTGCCAAATTTACTACAAGTTATCTCATAATGACGTTATCTCCATCTGTCACAGAATCATGCGGTTCTTCACGAATGAACTATGCCTGCAAGTACAGGTACAAGAAAAATAGCATCTTCTATTTAGAGATGCCTGCTGGAATACTTTAAAATGCTTTTGACTTTCCAAACAAGTCAGGTAGATGCAAGTTACCAAAACTGTAGAGAAGCCATTGAACATGGACACGGCAAGAGAATGAAACTGTAATTGTAATGAGCCAGCAAAAGCTTTCAGGTGACTGCACACAACCCCCCATAACAAATCTGGGTGCAAAACTCACACTATGAACAATTCGGAATTGCCAACTGATTAGTTCTCAGTAAACACAAGAAATGAGTTGCTCTCCTGTCCCAACAGGCAGATGCAATAATTAAGGCATTTTATGTACACGCAGCCTCTCTCCAGGTTGCGTCCACCTCAAGCCACGCTGGCTCGCTAAGGGAGACAGGAGGCTTGGAGCACACAGGTCCCATCACCAGAGCGGCTCTGGTAGCCTGCTCAGAGCAGCAGGTAGCAGCAGCCCATGAGCAGTAGGAACAGACCATGCTTTGGGAGAGCACACGCCAAACAAGGTGCCGTGGGGAACTGACCTGTCACTGCTGCCTATCTAGCACCCACAGCCAAAACTAGGAATGTGCCATGGTAGGAAAAGAACAGACTTAAGTTTATATAAGGAGCTAAAGCGGGCTTTTTGGATTTTCATTCTGTGCAGCTCAAATGCAACGAACTCAAAAGCCCTAAATATACCACCACACCTTCACCTGTCCCACTCTGGACCTTAAAGCCCTGACTTGCAGCAGCCCCCTCCCAGCAACCCCGGGACTAAAGAGTGCTCTCAGCCCTCACCCCTGCCCAAAGTTCCCCGCACCCCCAGACCCCCAGTCCCGAGGG